ACGGTGGTGCGCAGCCTAAGGGCATCCATTTATTGTGTGGTCCTCTGGCCCCACCAGGTATTGGTCAGTGTTTCCTGCTTAGGTGCTTACCCAGAGCCTGTGAAGCAAAAATATTTATTAGGCTGACTTTTGCTAATAATATGCTTTTTTGGTTGATTTTTTTTTTTTCACACTTTATTACTATAAGTTAGGGATGCACCGATACCATTTTTTCGTATCGAGTACTGATTACTTTGCTTTCGTAACTCATCAATACAGAGTACCGATACCGGTGCTTCCGCTGGCATGGAGCCGGCTTCCTGGGCAATCTGATTGCCCAAGGAGCCGGCTCCATGTTGTCTGGCTGACTTGATTGTGCTTGGCCGGGAAACCGGCTTCCCAGCCAATCAGGAAGCCGGGTCATTACTCGCCGCCTAGCTTCCTGATCACACTGGAAGCTGGCTCCATGTTCCCCTTCCTCTGACTGGAAGTTCCAGTATCGGGGAAGATATCGGAGCATTTGGGCAAATATGAGTACTCGCCCAAATACTCGGTTTTGGCACAGATTACTAGTATCAGTGCTTGCCTACTATAAGTGATATACATGCATTTTCTCTGACCTTTTTAAAATTGATTTTGCTGAGAGGAATATGTGTTGCCATTTATGTTTGTGTTGTCATCCTGTTAGACATGGATACAGTTGTTGGTACCCTCACAGCTCATTGAAACAATGCTTCATTCTTCCTGAAAAGTGATGACATTAAAAGCAGTTGAACATTTAAACATGTATGTCTGCATGCCTTATGTCATAGAGAGTGAAACAAAGCACATGTAAAAAGAAACAATGTATTGTTTAATCTACAAAGATGTTCCAAAATGGCATGGATAGATTTATTGGTCCCCTAGAAAAATATGTAAATAATTGGATCATAGTAATATGTAAAACTCTTTTCGGTATAGTATCCCACATGTCTTCAATCTTGTAATCAGTCAGCCTATTTAAATTAAGAAATGTAGTTACTCTGCACCACTCTAAACATAGGCTAGAAAAAGCAAAGTAGAGAGTTATCTATGGAAAACAGAAAGAAAATTATAGACCAGCATGTCAAACGTAAAAGGCTTTAAGACCATCTTTAAGCATATTGGTTTCTGTGATTTACAATTTTAAATATTATTAGGTTTAGGGTCCATGGGAATGTAGCAAAT